ATATTATTAATTTTTGTAAACAGCTTCTGAGAAAAGACATCTGAAAATACCATATATAGAGTTGTGAATTATACCATTCATAGTAGCTTATTGGAGGGAATATCCAAGCTATCCTTATCCATATCCATATCCATATCCTTATCCATATCCAAGCTATCCTTAAAACAGTTCTTCTCTTGGCAAGTTTCTGAGCACAAAATCATACTTGTGTTATGTTAATATTATCAGCCTCCATCATAAAAATTGATCCAGTTTCTTCTTATGAATACTTACTTGAACATTTTTACATCTGGAAAATACAATCCCTCAAGTAGCTTGCTGTATAATCAGGATTTAAAAGAAGTGCAAATCAGCACTATTCACAATAGCCAAGACATGGAAACAACCTAAATGTCCATCAACAGAAGAATGGATAAAGATGTGGTACATATATACATGGAATATTACTCAGCCATAAAAAAAGAATGAAATAATGCCATTTGCAGCAACATGGATGGACCTGGAGATTATCACATCAAGTGAAGTAAGTCAGAAAGAGAAAGGCACATATCATATGATACCACTTATATATGGAATCTAAAGTATGATACAAATGAACCCATCTATGAAACAGAAACAGAATCACAGACATAGAGAACAGACTTGTGGTTGCCAAGGGGGAGGTGGCTGGGGGAGAGATGGAGTGGGAGGTTGGGGTTAGAAGATGTAAGCTTTTATATAAAGAATGGATAAACAACAAGGTCCTACTGTATAACACAGAGAACTATATTCAATATCCTATGATAAGCCATAATGGAAAAGAATAAAAAAGAAAGAAAGAAAGAAGTGCAAGTCATATTAATGATGCCCAGCATATCTATGTATGGAAAGTAGTGTTTCTTCTGGTTCTAGCAGAAATTTGGTAAGATGCACTAGATTTTCTTTCATTTTATCTTGGTATAAATGTCCTTGATACATATTACAAAACACATGAACTTTGAAAGTATTATGCTAAGTTAAAGAAGTCGGCCACAAAAGACCACATATTGTGTAATTCCGTTTATATAAAATCTATAGAGACAGAAAGTATGTGGAGGCTGGGGGGGTGGTGGGGAGGATAAGATATAGAGTTTCTTTTTTGAGGTGATTAAAATGTCCTAACATCGATTGTGTTTACACTTGCATATATCTGTGAGTATACTAAAAAACCAAACCACATATTTTTAAAACGTGAATTGTATGGCATGTGAATTATATCTCAATAAACTGTTTAAAAAGTGAGTCAGGGAGCTTATACATAGCATTGGTACTTTGGATTTTTTCAGATTCTCCTTTTTCCAAGGGCCTGACCAACTAATTCAATTTAATGAAAATCACAAGGTACCTATCATGTGCAAAATGCTGTGTGCCATCATTGCAAGAGATAAAAGATGAAACCGCCTTTACCTTTCAGGAGGTTACAGTGCAGAAAGGGAAATGATGATATAATAATAATGGTGATGATGATGATAGGAAGAGGAGGGAAAAGAAGGGATAGCATTCACTGAGTATTTGCTATGTTCCAAGAACTGTGTTAAATGTTATTTTGTTTTATTCTCATAGCAACCATAGTGATAGATACTGTTATTTTTCTGATTTTTACCTGAGGAAACAGACACATAAAAGGTGAATTAACTTACATAGGGTCACACATCAAGAAATGGCAGGGTGAGAATTTTAACGTAGTGCTTAGCCAAGAGCCAGTGCTCTTAACAACTTGAGTCCATAGATACACAAAATACATAATACAAGGTAGATTGAGGTGTGTCATGAAAGAGTCAAATAAAAGTGATAGAGTCACCTGAAGAAAGAACACTTCTTATTTGCGGCTCAGGAAGGACGAGAAAGAACACATCTTATTTGCAGCTCTAAAGTACATGGGTATGTTTGAATATTTGACTACAATTTTCATGAGTCATGAAGTAGCTTCAAACCTACATCACAAATTAAATACTTCTTTTTTTGGTAAAATAAATATGGTCAAACAGAAAATGACTACAGAATCACAATGTCAAAGGTGAAACTTTCTCAAAATAAATTTATAATAGACAAAGAAACTATCACAAGATATAAAACCAGAACCCCCAATTCTAGTCATTCTCCTTAACGCCAATCTAATCCTTTATTTTCAGCCTGAGATCTTTCAAACTCTTCTTTTTGTGCTTGCAATTACATTCCTAATCTAGATTGTACTGATTTTCCCCCTCTCCTGTCTACTTTCTTACTGACTTTCCCACTGCTTCCCTTCCCACAGTTAGTTGAATATTATGGCTAAAGCTATTCTTATGAATCACATAAAGCACATCACTAATAACAACTTTAGTGCTTTTCACATAAAGGATAAGTTATTTTGCTTTCCGTCTGGAGGCTACATATTAAATGTTCACCTATATCTACTTAGTCTATTGTCCTTTACATATTTCCGTATCACTTTTCTCTACCATCATTTATACTTACATCTAAAGAATAGCATCCCTGTTCCTTATTGAGTTCCCATGAGTGCTTTTAAAATTGCCTTCCTAAAACCTTTACTGGAAGATTGTTTTGGCCATAATCAGAGGAATAATGTAGTAATTTTACTTCCTAGACAGTCAGCATTGCTGGTAAGTATGAAATATGCTAGACCACCCTCTTCTTCAGTCATTACATAAAAACCAATGTTATTTTATTAAATAACATTTACTTCTGCTATGGCATAAGTGATCACCTCTGAATCATTCTGCTGACTACACAAAGATGTGATAGAAAATACGTGAATTATTTTATGTAAATAATGAAACAGACATTCTAGAGTTCTATGCTACTATTTAGAGTAGGATAGGTGATTGCTGTGGTAATAAAAAAGACCCAAAATTTCAGTAGCTTAACACATAACAGTTTATTTCTCACACTCAGAACATTCACTGTAAGTCCATCAGCTCTCCAGGGCAGGTCCCTTACAAATAGCGACTTAGAGATACAGGTTGCATCCATCTTGTAGGTACACTATTTGGAGGACACTGCTTTCAGGTCCTCATGGCAGGTTAAGAGAGCTGGAGGGTCACGCAGGACTTTTTACTGCTCCAGTATTGAAACGACACACCACTTCTGCTTACAATCTCTCTGTAATCCCTCTGCTAGAAGTAATAAATGGCATTGCCTAAGTACAAGGGGCTGGGAAGTGAATGGGGGCACATAGATATTTGATAGCTGTTAATGTCTTTGCCACATTCTACAAATAATATAAGCTTTTTTTCATATTTTAATGAAAAACAATTTTTGAAAAATTCTATATGGATAGAAAATATCTCTTAAATACAATAGTTTTTATCCGCATATAGACATATATTTTAGGAAACAGCTAAAGTTATGAAGCTTCAATGTGACCTAACAAGGCATTACATTTATAATTGTCCAAGAATGTTACTGAGAGATTCCGGGGTATGCAATGCAAAAATTTTGGGACCCAGTATGTTATTTATCTACCAGATGTTTTCTATCTTTATAATAATTTTACTTGTGATTCAAGGGAACTGACATGAAATCAGCTATTTAAAAAAATAGCTATTTATTCTCTCCTCATGCTAAAATACTTTGTACATATGACATTACAATTAGCACACCCTCTGTAACAGGTGCTTTTGTTAGACCTCAATTTATAATTCATATTACTCTGATATAAAAAATGTAGAGTAAAAATAAATTTCAACTTATTTCAGCATAGTGGCAAACGTGATTCAGCAACAAACACAAGGCAACAAACTCCAAATGTTAGTAAAATGTGAAACAGAAAGATTATAATCTCCTAAATTTAACTCCTATTTTAATTCAATATTAATGCTTAAGAAAAGAAAATTTTAAACAGCATAGTTGCTAAGATTTTGGCAGTAGTTTTATGTAACAAGACATACAGCGTACTAGAGGTCTGGCACTCAACTTGCTTACAGTAAACCAGCTTCAATATGAAGGCATTAAATATTTTTTAAAAACCTTCTTTTTACATGCTAAATATTTTGGCAAGTGTGCAATTAAACACAGTCATGAAATTAATATAGTAAGATTAAGAAATTACAAACTTGAAACTTGTATCCTAAGCATAAATCATATAAAAAAGGATTACTGGTTATATAGAATATCTCTGGATAATCAAAACTTAATAGTATATAGCATGCAAAATATTTCAGAATCTTTATTAATCAAAAAATACCAGGGTCTATTTAAAATTATTCCCCTCCAAAGGGTATCAAAGTTAATTCAAATCATGTAACACTCTAACACTAAATATTATTCGGTACTGTCGAAATGGAGGTAAATTTCATAAAACTGGGGCCTTACATATACTGTAAATTGCTGTCTTTCTTGTTCATGTGAAACAGCATACATTACTAAGTAACAAAAGAATGGCTTCTGCACTGGCAAAAATAGGATGTGTAAGGATCAAAGGCACACTATTCAGCTCGCCAAAGTGAGATCAAACTCTTTTTCCCCCCACAAACCCTTTCCCCATGTAAACAAAATTTCTTTAAGGAGAAAAGAAAAATAAACTAAACTTTTAATCTTCAAAAGTAAGTATTTTGAGACAATGTTAAGTCTATGCTTCAAAAATGTCAGCTATTGTCACCTGGATATTTCTGATTATATTTTAAAGATGTAGCCAAATTCAATACTTTTAACATTAGATCCACTGTTTGGTAAAAATTATTTACCATCTAAAACATTTTACTTTAATTCCAAACATTTTAACCACTAGTATGACAACGCGGTTTTGCTCTCAGAAGAATTAGCCAGTGGAGGGGAAAACATACAAAAAACCCCAAGATCCTATATTTAAGCTGCAGGCAACAATTATGTCCCTTTCTGGCACAGTAGCATTTGACTGGCAACTCAAAGTCCAGGAATAATTCTACTAACACAGGGAAACTCATGCATTTTGGTAAATATGCCCTAACATTCACAGCTGAAGTTTCCTTTACACCTTGCTTTTTTCAATAGGGAAATCTTGCTTTTTTTCTTGATATTATCCGGACTTGTGGCTTGAACCTGACTTCTTTTTCTTCTTCTTACTATGTTTTTTGTGCTGTTTCTTCTTCTTCTTCTTTGCTTTTTCCATTGCTTTTTCTCGCTCTTCATGTCTTCTCTTCTTTTTTGCTTGTACCTCCTCTTCATAATCTGATTCTGATGAGGACTCTGATGATAAAGGTTTATCCTCAGGACAAGTCTTCTTTCTTTTTTTGCTGAGACTTCTAATATACTTTTCTTTGTCTGTTTCATCCTTTGACTTCTTTTTCTTTTTTACAGATTCTTTGCTCTCTGATTCAGATTCACATGTAGAGCTTTCTGATGATTTGTATGAACGGTTCTTCTTTTTCTTTCTCTTTTTTCCTTGTTTCTTTTCCTCATCCTCAGAATCTGAAGAACTGCTTGAAGAATCAGAGCTTGATGTAGAAGAAGATGAAGACTGACAAGATTTCTTCTTTTTCTTTTTCTTTCTTTCTCTTTTTTTGGACGAGCTCTCATTTCCACTTAATAATTTCTCTCTGCTTTTTTCTAGTTCCTTCTTCCAATTCTCATTCATTTTTTCTTCAAATTCAGCTAATGCCTTGGAGCCTTTCTTTTTATTTTCTAATTGTTTCTTCACTTCTTCCCAGGTGGGCCTTGGTCGATTCAGATAATCTTGTATTGTGGGGCCTGCAGATTGAGATGGGCCCCTCCATCTGGCCATTGCTATAGGATTCATATAGGCCACCCGATTGTCCCGCTTCCCCATGGTGCCTGATGGTTCCCAGAGCTGACTCTCAGTTGCTAAAGAGAATAAAGATAGACATCCTCCTTAAATTCTTCATCTGCTAGTAAACCAAGTGGGCTCCATTCTGTGAGAGAAGCAGATGGAATGATTACAAAACACCTTTAATATAAGACAAAGTAAGCACAAAAGTTTAATTGGTCACTGTCTATCACATAGTACAGTAGAAAAATTTCCAAAATCTTAGACCTTGAGAAAAAAGAATATACACACAAGATTTTTGCATGTTTTAGATGCTGTGGTATGAATATAACATAAAGTGTTTTTTATATCTCATATAAGGTTCTGTTATCTAATTTTTTTAAATAACTATTTCCTTTTATATTGTATGATAATTACGTTTTTCTTTCTTTCTTTCTGCCTTATATGGTATAAAGAGAGAGAGTAATTTCTATAGCCAAATTCTATACCAGGCAGACCTTCTCCATTTTAGTAGAGTGCAGCACAATCCACTCTACTCTTTGATAGAAACCTAGGAGTCATACCTGAAAAATCCTTCTCCCTCAATTCTCACATCCAATTCATACTAAATCCTGCTGTTTAAACCCCCACAACAATAGGTCTCATGTCCATTCACTTTTCTCCAAATATATTGTCACCAACATAGTCCAGGTACTGTCATTTTTCATTTGGACTATTAATCTCTAGTATCTATTGTTTATTATCTGCCAGGGACTGCTTAGTGTTGTGTAGTGGATTATCTCATTCAGTCTCCAGACTAACCCTATGAAGTTGATCCTATTATTATCCCTGATACACAGATGAAGAAACTGAGGCTTAGAGAATTTGAGTAATGAGTACTTGCATAAAGGAACATAAAAAATGGCAAATGGCAAAACCAGGATTTAAATCAAGGCAGCCTGATGCCAAACCCTGCACACCTAACACAACATTATATTGCCTCCTTATATCAACCTCCTATTTATTTATTTATTTATTTATGGCTGTGTTGGGTCTTCGTTGCCGTGCGCAGGCTTTCTCTAGTTGCTGAGAGTGAGGGCTATTCTTCGCTGCAGTGTGAGGGCTTCTCATTGCGGTGGCTTCTCTTCTTGCACAGCATAGGCTCTATGTGTGTGGGCTTCAGTAGTTGTGGCTCACGGGCTCTAGAGCACAGGCTCAGTAGTTGTGGCACATGGGCTTAGTTGCTCTGTGGCATGTGGGATCTTCCCAGAACAGGGATCGAACCTGTGTCCCCTGCATTGGCAGGTGGATTCTTAACCACTGAGCCACCAGGGAAGTCCCTCAACCTCTTAATTGACAGCCCTATATTTACTCTTACTCTCTTCTATTCCAATACCACACTGAAATCAGAAGGATCTTAAAATACTCCAATGGCTTTACATTTTAATGAGAATTAGATCCACACTCCTATAAAGATCCTGCATGATCTGTCTTGCTTAATGCTCTTACATTTCATTGAGAGTTATTCACTCCTTTTCTCAATTCTATCTTTTCCAATCTTCTCTTGGTTTCTGGAACATGTTAAGCTCCAAGCTTAGCCACCATGGTCAGTTCCACCTCATCTTCATGCCTCAGTTTAGAGGTCAATTCCTCAGAAAGGAAATTACTAGGTGGAACTCTATAAAATCACCAATTATATAGAAAAAAAGTCAAATACCAGTAATTTCACATGGCTCAACCTTATATTATGTTGCCTCTGTATCTATCCCTTATAGTCATTATTCTGCATCACAGTTCCTTGTTTCTTTTATTCGTAGCACTTAGAAAATTGAGGATTATTTTTTTTTATTTGACTATTTGGATGTGTGTGTTTGTGTGTGTGTGTGTGTATGCATGCGTGTATTCATTGCTAAATATAAGGCTAAGAAGGGTAAAGGTCATGTTTGATCTGTCTTATCACCATGGTGTTCCCAGTACCTAACATGGCATCGAGCCCACACTAAGTACTCAATAAATATTTGCTCAATAATAAACAAACTAATGAATGGATTGATGCAGGGGTAACTTTGTGAGAGAGGGGCATTCACAGAAGCCTCCTGGAGTTGGTGATGTCAGTACAGGATTTTGAAGGATAAATAGGAGTTCACCTGGGAAATGAGGAAATGACAGACATTCCCCAGTCAGAAGAAACAATATGTGAAAAAACAGAGAAATCTGAAAGAGCACCATGTATTTAGTGTTGATGGAGCCTAAAGTGCAAGAGGGTAGCAGCAGGAGGTAAGACTGCATAGGAAGTAAATAGCCTGATCCTAGAGGCTTTCTTAGGTCATTTTAACATCTTGGATTTTGTCCTATACTTGTTAGGAAGCTAGCAAAGTCTGAAGAGAAAGATAATCAGACATATCACAGATTTTTCTGTCAGTCTCCATCTTGACTTTGACCCTTTAAGTCACCCTAACATACCTACCCATCATAAGCTCAATGCCACAGATTTTACGGTGACTCTTGGTAATAGTTTCTTGGGTTTGATTTGTTGTGTTATCTTATTCTCCTTCCTCTTCAGTTCTGCCCAGCTCCTCTTAGGTATTTTTGTCATTTTCATTCTTATTACTACCCTAAAGGTCTGTCAAATATCATTGTTTCCCAGACTTGATCATCAAAAGCCCTTAATGACTTTATTTAATATTCAACTTGCTGGTTGTTTCTGCTACTGCACACTTAGAATAGCATAATCCATTCTAATTACAGTTCCTTGAGACCTAGTCCTGACATCATCTAGAAAGACAGGCAAAGACCAATTCACAAAGGATTTGGATGCGATGCTGAGGTTGGGATTTATTCTATGGGACTTACAGTGAAGCTAATGGGGAGGTGTGGACTATTTTAAGCCAGAGAGTGATTTGGTCACACTTGAGTGCTTAAGAGACAATTTCTTACCAGCTGAAGACAATGAGATTCATTCAAGTACTCATACAGATATAAAATGAGTATGAACTAAAAATAGTGGTATAATGAATGAAAAGAGGGGGAAATACATGCGACATGTTTAGGAGATGCTACTGAAATTAACGATCAGTGAGATACAAAGAGTGAGGAAGATAAAGGAATCTAGGGTAAAGTTCTGGCTTGTGAGACAAGATATAAGGCAATGCCAATGACTGAGTAATATAGGAAACGGCATAGACTTTGAGAAAAGGTCTGGGTTCAGTATTGGATTCATAAAGTTTGAAACATGTGAGTGAAGCCACATGTAGGAAATTGGATGTATGGGTGTTAGCACTCTGGAATGTGACCTGAATTAGAGATATAGGATTGGCAGTCACTGAGTGATGGTTAAAGTCATGAGAGAAAATTAAATCTCCTTGGGGAAGATTTCAAATGAAAAAAGGTTTGAGCACTGGATCGAATTTAATAACAACACACAAGAGGCTGGCAGAGAAAGTAAAGCTTCAGAAAATTAGCCAGAGTGGTAAGAGCTAGACCAGTATCAGAAAATAAAGTTAGAGTCACAGAAACACAGTGGGGAGAGTAAAGTTTCAAGGTGAGGGCAATAATCCTCAAAGGACTATGGTCATGAATTTCATGAGAGCAACTTTTAAACATTAAAATTTGAGGAAAAATCCTAAATATTCATCAATAACAAACAGGTTATATCAATTATAGTATACGTATACAATGGAATACTACATCCACAACATACTGTTGAGTGAAAAGTTCACCAAATGTAAACACCTGTTATTTCTGCATGTGGAGAGGCATTATTTACTTTTGTAAGTTTCCCTATACTATTTATAGTTTTTACAATGAGCAGGTATTATCTTTAACTTTAAAAAATCCAGAATAGGGCTTCCCTGGTGGTGCAGTGGTTGAGAGTCCGCCTGCCGATGCAGGGGATACGGGTTTGTGCCCCGGTCCGGGAAGACCCCACATGCCGTGGAGTGGCTGGGCCCGTGAGCCATGGCTGCTGAGCCTGCACGTCCGTAGCCTGTGCACCGTGGCGGGAGAGGCCACAACAGTGAGAAGCCTGCTTACTGCAAAAAAAAAAAAAAAAAAAAAAATCCAGAATAAAAGGTGTTATGGACAACAATATTAAATGCAACAGATAGGTTAAGTAAGATAAAATCTGAAAATGCCTATTATATTTGGCTATGAAGAAATCATTAGTAACCTTTGCTAATGCAATTTCAATTAATTAGGGCAGAAGCCAGATGACAGTGGGTTAAAGACTAAATGGGAGGTGAGAAAGTAGGGACATAGGGTACATAGACTCACTTGAGAAGGAAAGTAAAGTGAAGGCAACTATAATGAGGGATGAAGAATTTAAAAAAACAATTTTTTACTGTTGTTTGTTTTTATCAAAGAAGAAACTTGAACATGTTCAGAGGGTGACAATGTTAAATAGAAAGACTTTTAAGAAGACAGGAAAGAGGGAGGAGCTTCAAGATGGTGGAAGAGTAAGACACGGAGATCACCTTCCTCCCCACAAATACATCAGAAACACATCTACATGTGGAACAATTCCTACAGAACACCTACTGAACACTGGCAGAAGACCTCAGACCACCCAAAACACAAGAAACTCCCCACGTACCTGGGTAGGGCAAAAAATCAAACAAACAAACAAAACAGAGACAAAAGAATAGGGACGGAACCTGCACCAGTGGGAGGGAGCTGTGAAGGAGGAAATGTTTCCACACACTAGGAAGCCCTTTCGCGGGCAGAGACTGCGGGTGGCGGAGGGGGGAAGCTTCAGAGCCACGGAGGAGAGCGCAGCCACGGGGGTGCGGAGGGCAAAGCGGAGAGATTCCCGCACAGAGGATTGGTGCCGACCGGCACTCACCAGCCCGAGAGGCTTGTCTGCTCACCCGCTGGGGCAGGCGGGGCTGGGAGCTAAGGCTTGGGCTTCGGTCAGAGCGCAGGGAGAGGACTGGGGTTGGCGGCGTGAACACAGCCTGCAGCGGGTTAGTGCACCACGGCTAGCCAGGAGGGAGTCCGGGAAAAGGTCTGGAGCAGCCGAAGAGACAAGAGACTTTTTCTTGCCTCTTTGTTTCCTGGTGAACGAGGAGAGGGGATTAAGAG